GAGAAAACAGACACGTCAAGAACCTTCTTGAGTCTATTGGAAAGCACTTTTGAAATAATCTTGTAAATGCTCCCCACGAGACTAATAGGCCTGGTCTCTGATACAAGATGCCTTCTTTCTTAGGCACAATAGTAATAAAAGAAGCATTGATACTTCTCTCGAAAACGCCATTCACGTGGAAGTATTCAATGGCTTCCATCAACTCCCCCTAAATGGTGTCCCAACAGAGCTGGAAGAAAGCCAAGGAGAAACCATTAGGCCCGGGGGCCTTATCACCAGCACAACTCGACACAGCCTCATGCACCTCCTCCTCCTCGAAAGCCCTTTCTATCCACTCACTGTCTACCTGCCCTATGTGGCTGAATTGTATTTCCCCCAAAGTAGGCCTCCAACTAACTTCCTCTTTGTATAAGTTCTCATAAAACCCCACTATCGCCCCTTTTACCTCCTCCTCTCCCTCAATCCTCACCCCATCCACAACTAAGGACTCTATGAAGTTTCTCCTTCGATTTGCAACTGCAACCCTGTGGAAAAACTTGGTATTCGGATCCCCCTCCTTTAACCAGAGCGCCCTCGATTTTTGCCGCCAACTAGTGTCCCGAGCTATTGCTAACTCGACTATTTCCCTCTTAACCTCCCCCAATCTCACTTTCTCAGATTCATCTAACTCTCTCGCCCCTACCCTTCTCTCTAATTCCCCCAATTCATGCATAAGCTCCCTCATTTTAACCTCTATCCTCACAAAACCTCCTTATTCCACCTAATAATATCTCCCTTGAGCAATTTAAGTTTCTTCGAAAGACGGAATGAAGGTGTCCCTGATACCCCGTAACTTGTCCACCATTCTTTCACTTTGTCACCAAATCCTGGCACTTTCAACCACATGTTCTCGAATCGGAAAGGAGCACGCACCCCCCCTCCCTCTGCATCCATCTAGCAAGATAGGCAAATGATCTGAAGTCAGTCTAGGTAAAGGAATCTGCAGCACATTCGGCACCAGCTCATCCCAGGAGGGCGATATCAGAAATCTATCAAGTCTAGACCTTGAGCTGGAATCCTCCGCCCTGGCCCAAGTAAACCTTTCCCTTGACAGAGGAAGATCAATGAGAAAGTGATCATTGATGAAGTCAGAAAACTCCTCCATAATCAAACTACACCCTAATCTCTCATCCGGGAATCTAATAGTGTTAAAGTCTCCCCCTAGAACCCATGGAATGTCCCATTCCCCCATAACATTGGCCAGTTCCTCCCAGAAAGACACCTTGGACCCTTCTCCTACCGGTCCGTACACTCCCCCAAATCCCCACTCCACCCCACTCACTCTATCTTTGACAAGACTGCTAAAAAAACACCATTCTTAATCTCCTTTACCTCCAAGCTTCTATCATCCCACATAAGAAGAATGCCCCCGGCACTTCCCGCTGCTCAAACCCAGTCATATTTCACCCAACTACCTCCCCAGACACTCCTCACAATCACATCCGATAAAACTTCCATTTTGGTCTCCTGAAAACAAACTAGGTTGGCACCCCACTCTCTAACTCCCACTTTGATGATGACCCTTTTGTTTGGGTCATTCATCCCTCTCACATTCCATGAAAGACTATTAACTTCCATAAGTAACAATATCCCTCTTTTCCCCACCCCACCTAGCCGAGCTCCCTTCCTCCCTGTCACACACCTGGACCCTTCTCTGGAACACCACTACACCCCCTAGATTATTTTGCTTAACACCTTGACCCGACTCCCTCCCTGCACCATCATAAAAAGACTGTTGCTCAATCTCCCTCAATAGTTCTAACACCCTATCTTCCTTCCCTTCAAAAGAAACACCTAAAAACTTCCCAAAGTTTAATAGCTTATCCTCCATCCAGAAAGACATATCCCCTCCTCCAATCCGTGACGAAATTGGACAGACGTCTTCTATATGAGCCATTTCCTTGCTTCTACCGGAGGAATACAAGACCATAGCATTGCTAGCAATAGGAACTTTAGTTGCCGGAAGGATCTCACCATTTCCTTAAGAGGCACCAACCTCTGAAATTAACACCCCGCTGTTATAGGAATGTCCAGAAGCCTAATAGTAGGGTAGCAGGAAGGAAGAGAGCATGGAACCATTGGTGGCATATTAACTGGAATTACTGGTCCGGCACTAACATCAATTGGGGCATGCACAACAATCTCCCCAGAAGAAGAAGGAGCTTAAAGTGTAACCTCAGCACAGCTAAGCACCGGAGAAGATGAGGGGGCGATGGAGCTGGGTCCATCAGAGGCGGGAGGCCGAGGAATAACACCACCAGTTGTAGCCAGTGCTGCCCCTAAAGCAGCGGCCATCGCAGAGGGGCGCAGGTCACTAGAGCTCGGCGAAGAAATACCACTGTGTGAAGCACCATTGGCAGAAGAAGAAGGAGCGACCGTTCCCATATGCTTAGGAACCTTATCAGACGCAGCTTGAAATAATCTGGGCCCCTTAGGATCAATTTTAATAGAATTGGGAAAAGTTGTTGGGCCCATGTGTAGAGGCCCAGACCTATACTTGCTGAAAGCTTGCCCGGCCCTATGATGATTAAAAGAGGACCGGCCCATTCTTCCTGTCCACCCCGCATTATTAACCCAAGGGTATTCACGTCTTTTCCTCCTGATAAAATTTTGTCTTCTTCTCCCAAATTCTAACGTCTGATTCCGGCTTAGTCCACTGATCCGGTGAGCCCTCCCCTCCCTTCAGAGACTGATTTCCCCTCCCCTCCCTTCTATTTGACCTTCCCCTTTCTTCCGCCACTATCATAGGCATAAAGATAGGGCGAAAATCAGGGCTCAGCCAAACCCTATAACTCAAGTAGCCATCTTCCACCACAGTGGAGACAGGGATTCTGCCCCCTTTCCTCACCACAATCCTCACTCGCAACAGATCGTGTAGGTTGCAAGTGACATCAATAAAACCCCCACATTTTCCCCGATCTTCTTGAATAGTTTAAGACACCAAAGATGCACCGGGAGACCCACCATGTTGACCACCAATGTTTCGCCAGTGAAACGAGGGTCGAGACACTCATCGTGCTCCACCCATCTGTCTACCTTTAAGAAGTTCCCATCGAACCACCTGTTTCTTCTAACAAGAATTTCTGAAGCTTGAGACTCGTCGACAAATCAAAAGAGATATTACGTGTCCCCCAATTGCGATATTTTCAGCCCGTCCTTGACGTTCCATGCCTCTGCTACCCAGTTCCTAACAGCCTATGGAGAACCAACCCATTTGGAGAAAGACCCAATCAGACAAGATTCCAAGAAACCCTTGCGCCTAAGAGTGTGCTCCTCAGACAGCGAGAAGTGCGGCTCCTGCCCTACGTCGAGCTTCCAATGGCATCTTCCCCCAAGTTCTAGGGCTGGCCAAGAGACAACTTTGATGAAAGACATGTTTTCCAATTTTCTTGATTCTAGAGAGAAGTAGGAGCTTCTCTCTGAAGAATTCATCATATCTAGATGTGGCTGTCCCAAAAGCCTCGTGGAGAGGCTGACTGAAGAAGAAGAAGTGAGATCTGGTCGGAAAAAGCCTCACCGGTCGCCGGAAAATAGTGAAAGTCGCCGGATTTTGGAGATTCTTGGATGGGTAGGCTCGGAACAATCTCGCGAAGAGGTTGTCTGAAGGAAAAAAGTTGAGATCTGGCCGGGAAAAGCCGCATGCGCCGGCGCGTGGCTGAGTAGTCGCCGGAACTGGGCCGCGCATGGGAGGTCGTACGGCGGAGATCTTGACTGGGTTTTGGTCGCGACAGGCTTGGCTCTTGGAGGGTGGTGATACAATCCTAGGATTCATGATAGAGAAATGCCTCGGGGAAAGTGCCTGAGAGCATTTTTTGCTTTCTGCTTTTTCCTTCGTTATATAGACCATTACCAAGGCGCAAATCAAGGTAGCAGAGAAGGAAAAGAATCAATCAACACTGCAAGATCTACGAAAGCCACCCATTAGAAGATATGAGATCAATAACGAGCTTCAAATCAGCATAAAAGAAGATTGCCAAGAAGGGCCTCAAATCAGCATTTATATGCATAGAGGAAGATTGCCAAGAAATCGTGAAGATTAAGATTGTCTCTATCAAAACTGGATTCAAGAGGCATCTCTTGGGCCTACTCTTAGAATATAACTGCCTCAAAAGGAAAAACACAATCAAAGGGATTTGAGTTTTTCAATCTCTGAGCACAAGGAAGATAGAATACATCACATACATTGGCGAGTATACAAAGAGCAGGAAGACTTGGAGATCGTCACGCAGCTTTCATATAGTTTTCAGTCTTTCTACTTCTTTGCAAAAACACTGTATTCCTAAGTCTACTAGTGTCTTAAAATATAGAGAGAAAAAGAAAGCAAGTGAAAGGTTGTGTCAAGAACAACTACTGTAACTCGTTGGTGGTGCACGAAAGAAAACCACACACTCATCTGTAACTCATTTCGATTGAAGATCTAAGAGAACCCTTGTGACCCAGGGGAACTAGATGTAGGTGCCATGCCAGTGCTCCTCTGCCTTTTATTTCATATCTTATTACATATATATTTGTTGTGCTAACTATTGCTTGCAGGATAATTGCAGTTGACTAAGAAGTAACCTAGTCAACTAAAGAATTTCTACAATTCATCCCCCCCCCCCCCCCCCCTCTTCTTGTACTTTCAATGTTGTACATTGTTAATTAAGTCAATGAAATGTTTTTCTATTTCCACATACACTACTACCTGCAAACTGAAAAAGGGTTCTTTATACTACCCACAACAACTTTAAGATATTGAGTCTCGTTAAAGACTTAATCGGCAGGAAGAAAAAAGAAAAGCAAAATTTGGAGCCAATTTTATCACAATCACACTTGTTTGATTTAGTCAACTTCCATATTTAACTAGATAAAGTAACCTAAAATCAAACAAAATAAGAAAAGAAAAACATAAAGAGAGTACAAAGTAACTGCTAATGAAGAAAGAAAAAGAAAGAGAATCTAATAAACAAGTAACGACTAACCTCGTCCAGGTCCAAGTAAAGCCCCTAATGCCAATCCAGCTTTGACATAAGAATTATGCAGTACATCCAACACTGAACCTGTACCAATTTTTTCTCAACTAGTTTGAGTTATCCAGAACAGAAAATTTCATCCAACACTATCCTACAGATGTTTTCAAGCTGAAAGACATAACTTCGAGGGGGGAAAAAAAGAACAATGTAATATTGAGCATTACGGTATCGGATGTATTTCTATGACTTAATCAGTAACCATTTCCAAATCTTTTAACATAAAAACAAAGTATTTGCCTTTTTCCTTTTTAACATTTCTTACAACGGTTAAATCAAGTGTTCAAATCCTAGTTGTTTTTAATTAGCAAGAATGTCATTCACTCACGGAGAGGCTCTAAATTTTTTGAGCTTCAGTTTTCATTGTAAAAAGAAATGAAATGTGCATTTTTGTGCTAGTTTACCGTGACCAATATGAATGCCAAGAGAGTGCAATATATGAGTAGCGTGAGTTCCACAGCATAAAGCGACCAGAGACCAAGCAAAAAACACTCTGTTTCGACTCTCAACAAGCAATGCCTCCTTTTTCTCCACCATTTCCTTCCAGTTCTTCACCTTCTCATCTACTCCTAACCCCGACGACCTCTTCTTTGTCGGAAAACCACATCCGGTCAGCCTCTGAGCTAACTCCTCAGCGGCCGCAAAACTCTCATCAGCCTCCGGTTTCAACTTTACCGCAGCTGTCTCGGTCAACATGTTGACCACAGCCGAGTCAACTCGGTCGTCGGCGGAGAGGATCGACTTGACGCGTGTGACGCACGCGCCACACATCATCCCGCTCACGTCGAGTAGTACTGTCGTTTCATCTTTCTTCAACTGCTGCTGCTGTTCAGTTCCGCTCGCCGGAGCTTTAAACTCAACAGCCTTCGCGAATACGGCATTGCGCCGCAGCAATAGCTGACTGCTACGACGTCGTTGGTGGATGAGAGGATTGAAGTGATGGCCGTTGATACGACGTCGTTCGTGGTTGACATTGGAGCGACTGAAGCTGGAAGTGAGATTGTGATTAGGTGCGAGGGAGAATCGGAGGAGATTCGCCGTCATTGTTTCTCCGGCGGAGTAGGAATCGGAAAAATAGAGATGAGAGGAAAGAGAAAAGAAAATGTATAGGTAGGGATTGGCCATAAATCCCAAATTTATTTTGAAAAATATGATTTGGGTGAAGTTTGGTTTGAAGATGAAAATGTGTTTGGACATACGTTTTCAAAACATATTTTCTAATTTTATTTTGAAAATTCATGAATATAATTTCCAAATTTTGAAATTTTGGTCCATAACTGATTTTGGAATTTGAAATTTAGGATTTGGGATTTGGAATTTGGCCAAAATATAAGCAAAATTTATGATCAAATATGAATTTTGAAAATAAATTTCAAATTTATCCCAGCAAAACTCATAACAAACGGGTCCATAATAGCGGCGCAGGGTGAATATTCAACGTTTACAATGACACGTGGATGTGGATTCATGCTAGCTGAAATGAATAAAACGTGTGATCCAAATTTATGTTTATTTCTATCTACCAATAAGTAGCGATTCACGTGTTGGGGTTTGTACATGGACATGGCTAATTTTATCCTTGTGATTTGTTGGCTGCTGCTTACATGTCAAGATTACTGCTGGAGTTTTGTTCCTAAAGATAAGATTATGTGCTCTATTCTGATTTTAGTTGACATGTAAAGCAATCTTTAATGTTTGACTTTAGTATTTTATTTTTGAGAATAATTTATTAGTTATATCGTTGGTCTACAATGGTCTTAAAACACTACTATTCGGTTCACAATAAGTTATCAATTTGCTTTTAGCACGTCCATTAAGAAAATACTAAATTCTATATAAAAATACCTACTATGACTAAACTACCCCTAATTAAACATTTAATGTGAGGAGTAAGAAAACTTTTTAGGAATATGTACATAGGGGTTATTTTATAAAAACAAATTGAATTCTTTCTTGATTACATAACTGAACACTTATTTTGAACTAAAATGAAAAAGCAAATTAATCACTTATTGTGAACCAGAGTGAGTAAAAATGAAGGATTGAGGAAGACTACTCACCTATCGAGCTTTTTTTTCTTTCGCGAAACTTGTTGCTTGCGTTTGGTAGGGTTATTTACTAATCTTCTTGTCATTCGATTTAGCTGTAGAAATATTAACTGGCATATATAATTAGCTTATAATGATAATGTGTTGGTAACATCCTCGCGAGCAGTGATAAAAAGTACTCCCTTCGGTCTAAAATAAGTAATTTTTTAGTTGTTTTCATACAGATTAAGAAATCCACCTTTTAACATTAATTAGCAATGAAATTGACCATATTAACCTTTACTATCTCTTCACATAAATACTCCCAACACATACTCCAACACTATTTACTCCAAGGGCAATGTAGGAAAAAAATAATTAATTCATTTTTGAAATCCGGAAAAATCACTTATTTTGCACAAAAAAATGCCAAAAATCACTTATTTTGGATCGGAGGGAGTACTTGAAGTCTCGAATCTCTGAACAAGTTATACCAAAGTTTGAGCTTAAGTTGGTGTTACATATTCCCTCCGGTCCACAATAATTGATAAATTTGCTTTGGGCACGCCCATTAAGGATATACTAAATTCTAGTCAAAAATAGTTAGTGTGACTAAACTATCCTTAATTAAATATTGCACCATAATTTAATATGAGAAGTAAAAGACTTTTTAGGGGTACGTACATAAGGATAATTTTGGAAAAATAAATTGAATATTTTTTTGATTATATAAATAGATATTTATTTTAGACCAAAATAAAAAAGAAATTGATCACTTATTGTAGACCGGAAGAAGTAATAAATAAAGACTAAGATAAATCTAATTCCAAAATTAAGGGATCATACTCGATCTATATCCTTACTAGCATGTAATGAAGCTTGGTAGGTAGGGTTTTTTACTTTTTCCTCCCAATGGTAGGTACGTGAGATATTTTAGGACGTTATCCTTCCCCTTCACATGGGTCATTAACACGCATGTGTACCATATGCATTTCTTTATTCAAATCAACTCAATCAATGTCTATCCTTTTTCTTCTCTCTCGGTCTTTTTTCTGTTTTTTTTTCTATTTTTCATTTTATTTACTTTAAATGGCAGCCAAATTGGGTTGTTGGACTGGGTCATTTCCAACATCCAGTATATTATTTTATTTTAGTGAAATTGCGAAGGGTTAATGTTGAATTATAATTCTCTCCTTTTCTGAACCCCTAAAAACTAGTCCTACAACTATTAGTAAAACAAGTTACCTGCATTTCTAACATTATGATTAGTTCAGCAACGGGGCCCCCGCGAAGGAAAGATGAACTCAATGTTCTACATTTTTCAGCTAATTGACAATAACCTTGTTATTTTTTGTCTTTCACTTCTTCTTATTTTAGTCAAATCACACTTTTCGCCGTCTCTTGTTCTTAACATTAAATACATATTTTCATTTACCTCTAATTTTGGAGAATGTCCAGTGGTTCCACCAGCATCTCAAAGAACAAAATTTAGACTTGTATTAATTCTTGTTCGACCTTGAGACAAATTTAGATGCTTTAGGGTTTAGAAAGCAAAAACAGCTCAAGGCATGAGGTGACCCAAGGCGAAAATTCCACTTGCTGCAGTGTAAATTCTATGATTTTCTTTTGGGGAAACGCTCTTCTTAGAAGTAGAAGCAGAAGTAGAAAATTAATTTATTCAAGATAAAGATAATCTTACAATATATTTATATTTTTCAAATTCTCCTCGTTAATTTATTATTTTATTTTCCTTTTCCTTTTCATTTCTATTATACCCTTCTTCTCTTGTTTATTTTAATGATATTTTATTCTATTTCTTTTTTTTTTTTTTGGTGCAATATTTTATTCTATTTCTCCTATTCCTAAGAGTGGATTTTAGATTTATATTGGACGTTGTATTTGGATATATTTAATTATCATATACACAATAAGTAATATCAAATATTCAATGTTTTTATTTTGGAGTAACTATATTTTATATTAATTAAAATTTATAATTTATATTTATTGAATTTTTTTACAATAAACATTTAATTTTTTTTAAATAATACTAATTGTAAATTGATTCTTTACTGTCTTTTTTGGTAATTCGATACTTAAAAGTACTTTTTGAAAAGATTGGCCAAACATAATGAGCTTGCAAAAAGCACTGCTCAAATGAATTGGCCAAACACAAATTGTTATTTTGCAAAAGTAATTTTTCAAAAAACACTTTTTAAAATAAGCAGTTTTTGACAGCTTGGCCAAACGAGGGCTATTAGTGGCTTAATCTGTTATTATGTACTCGGTAAACATATTAACATGCTCAGGTAATTAGAATAGTCGTTGTGTATCTTTTCTTTTGTATGCCTATATGGTTTTTATGTATGTTTTATATGATTCGGCTTAAATTAATCCAACCAACATCAGGTAAAAATCCTCCAACGCGACGCAGGGTCCTACTCCATTTTCCCTTTTCACTTACTTGCAAAAAAGGTTACCTAGAATCCTCATTTTTTTCTTCCTCTCCTCCCATCTTTTATCTCTTCACCCAAACAAACATAGGATAACAATACCGTTGCTCATATATTTGATTAGGGATGGCAATGGGGCGGGGCGGGTTTACTCTTATGCGGGTGCGGGGTGGGGCGGGTTAAAATAATTTTTAAAATTTTTAAAGTGGGACAGGGTGGGTTGCGGATTCAATGCGGAGCGACTTTGAATTTTATCTTTTTTGAAATAAAACAATCATTTCAACTATAATTTCACATTCTTCTTCACTAGCACGAATACTATTATTTTAATTTATAATTAACCAATTTGCATAAGTAAAATCACGCCCAACTATGCCTTATAAAAAGGACTCTGCGGACGTTGCAAATATAACCCGAGTATTACGCCCAGGGTCGAATCCACAGAGAGTTAACCTATCAACCATTATCTTCAGACCCACTAATTCTTCAGAACCAGCTTCCCAAATATTTAAATCTCAGTTGAGTGTTCTTTAACGACTAGCTTGCAGGTAACTAAATAGCTGTAAACTAAACTAGTAATGTTGTAAACAATTATGAGGAAAAGCTAAGGCAATGATTTCCCCTATTGATGGAATCCCTTCTGTTTATGCTCATACAAATTGACCAACACATCTCTATCAATCATGAACGCTAATCTTACCGCAAATCTCTCCCGAGTAATCACAGTAATTTACTAATGCACTATCCCGAGATACACTAGCTTACTTTATTTAGCACGTTTCACTTTAGATTACACCCAAGGCCTCGTTATCCCTAATCCCGCCTTTAAACCCGCAATTATAGATTCCTCTAATAATCTAGGAGTGTTGTTGTTCAACAATACCCTAAATATGCACTCTTTTCCAAGTTATGCACACTAAATAGGCACAACTAATTGAGGATCCTGTCAATTAACTACAACAAACACGAAGTTGAACAAATAGAGATTAAACTAGCAATTTGTATTCACATAAAAAGAAGTTCATCACCCAATAGGTTCCATCAAAACCTTAGACAAGGAATTTAGCTACTCATGGCTATGGAAAAATAAACTAAGATTGAATTCATCATAAAAATCAAAAGAAAAGAAGAAAGATGGTTGGAGTATTCTCTCACAATGATTTTTCTTGCTAAGAAACCTTAAAAATCAATACATGCCTCTCTTGGGCGAAGTCTAATGTTTTAAATAGGGTTTAGGTCTAAAAATCTCGTATTTGACACTTTGACCCCTGAAGTTTTCTGCGCCTGCCGCGGTTCTGCCGCGGTCATGGTAGAACCGCGGCCAATCACCCTCTCGGAATCACTGAAGTTCTGCAGCTGCTTTCCACCGCGGTTCTGCCGCGGTCGCGGTGGAACCGCGGTGGACCCAGTGCTCTGAATCTTCGGCCTGTTTTGCATGTTTCACTTGGAAAATTTCACAGTTGGCCTCTTTTTCATCAATTTTGACTCCAAAACTGCTCCTTAGCCTTCCTTATACATATATCACCTGTAAATCATGAAAATCACTAATAAGAGCATTTTGTTATCACTTTTAGCATTAAAACTACACAAGAAGGTGATTATTTAAGGTGTGATTATAGCCAAATTCACCTATTA